CCAGGCAGGAGGTGGCTGGGTCCTGCTCACCTTGGCCTGGAGGTTCCTCAGGCAAATGACGGCCTCCTGGTACTTGGCTGCTGCCTGCGCGAACTCCTTGCGAAGCACGAGGCGGTTGCCCTCGCTGTGCAGCACGGGCACCGCCGCCAGCTTCTCCTCCTTGCTCATGGCCCACGTGTCACGTTTGTAGGCTGAGGGCTCCTCTACCTGCATGGACAGCGGGAGCTGAGCTGCTGCCCTGGCCATCCCCCCCATCCCCACATCCCCCTTACCCGGAACAGCTCCATGATGAAGATGAGGGGCTGCGGCGTCCGCTGCAGCTCATCCAGGTCATCGTAGCCTGTGCTATGGTAGTCAAACATGTTGCCCATGCCACAGCGGTGCTTCTGCCCTTCCAGGGGGTCCCGGCCCTCTGCGATCCTCCGCATGCCCCTGGAGACCAGGGCATACATGCCTGTGTGCTGCAAGGAGGGGGAGCACCCTGCTCAGCCACATGGGACCTGCCTGCACCCCTTCCCCTGGGGGTAGCCCAGTGGTGCCGTGGTAAGTGACACCTGAGCGCACTGTGCTTGCACCAGGCAAGGCTGGAGTATCTGTGGGTACATGGTCCCGTGCCCTGGCTGTGCAGAAAGGAGGGGAGTAGGTGCCTGTGGGCCCCTCACTCACAATGGCATCACACCAGAACTCGGCCACCTCCCCAGTTCTCATGGAGCTGAGCAGCGTCTCCCAGATCTCCAGCTTGAACATCTTGCCCACGATGATCTCCATGGGGATGCCAGCTTCCCGGCTGTCATCGATGACCGTCCGCTCAAAGTCATCCTTCAGAGTCTGGAAGTGGAAGGTGATCTGCCCCAGAGAAAGCTCAGTGTTGAGCAGTGAGAGACCTCTGTCCCCTCGCCAGCCCCAAATCCCTCTGCCATGGGGCCAGGATGCAGGGCCAAGCCTGCTCCCAGCAACGTGCTGGATTGATTAGCAGCTCTCCATCTGCAGCAGGAGATTGTGCCTCCTTCCCTCTCATGTCTAAGACACCAAGCAGATGGTGGAGTGCCTTAACACCCATCAGTGCTGTATCTTGCTGCTCTCTTTAGATCCCACTTTATAATCCAGAGCGTTCTATAGGATACACCAGGACCTGGCGGAACCCATGTTGCTCTGCCCATACCCATGGGCTGGGGAATATCAGAGACCCCCAATAGCTCCCCACGGGCACCCCTTTGTCTGCCTGTGCCCAAAACAGCCCTTCCTGCACCTCCTCCTTGAGAGGGATGTTCTGGAGATGGGATCTCCCTGTACCACAGACACAGAACATGGCTTGTGAGCAGGGAATCTAACTGTAATGGGCAGGGATGGTGGTGTCGGACCCGCTCCCCTCTCCTAGGGCTTTGGTATAACAACCAACTTACCTTGCTCCCATCCTGCAGCTTTGGCAGCTCCCCCTGGCCTCCATGCAGAATCTTCTTCCTGACCCCTTCCACGTTAAAGTTTCCTCCATGGCTGCTCCTGTTGGCCCCCAGGAGCAGGTCACAGGCACACGACCACGCTCAGGCCCTTCCTGAGCTCCACGTCTTCCTCAGGATCTCTCCCTTTCCTGGCTATCTGGACACACATGTCATCTCCCACGGCTGCTGCTGGCCTTTCATGTTCTGTGCGGGGGCAGAGCCTGGAAGCCTTCTCCCCTTCCCTTGCCCGCTGCGTTGATAGAGGGGTGTCCTGCTGCAGCACACCCTTGGTGCCCTCTGTTGCATTCTGGAACTGCCTTTCTAATCCTCTTCCCACCCTGCCAGGTTAATCTGGGATTTGCCTGCCCGGTCTGTGAGGAATTAAAGAAACTCCCTGATGAGGAAGGCCTCATTCCTTCCACAGCATGACAGCTCACAGGGTTCCTTTCCCCAGTCTTCTTTTACCCAGCCGCAGAACGAGCATTTCAGAAAAGGAACCCAGAACTGCTGGTGTGAGCACCAGCGAGAGGCTGTGTGCGGTCAGAGGCAGTGCTAGTCCGTGCTCTGGAGACCACAGAGGAACAGACAAGAGTTGGAAACAGTCCTTTATTGAGTCTGATTTGCAGACGCAAGTATTCCTCAAACACAAGGACAAGCACCTACCTGTCCACAGCCCATCAAGATGCAGAAATCTGTCCAGGGGGAACTAAACCCCTCTGGGAGAAGGGTGCTGCATATTTACCCTAAGTCCAGTATTTTGGCTGCCCTCACAGGCATAATCCAATTCTTTAGCTCCACAAACCAAGCCCAGAAACATACATGTGAGACCAGCATTGGACGTGTCCACCTGGCAGCAGAGGTGTGTGACTAGAGCAAAGACTTCAGCATGGCAGATGAACACTGCTTCCAGGTCTGCTCGCAGGTACAAAGACCCCGGCCTGCTCCTCACTTCTCCATGAGGGACTCCAGCTGCTCCTGCAGGGACGTCATCTGGGAAGAGACAGTGAGGCATTGCAATACAGCATGGCTGGGGCTCCTGGCAGCTCCAGCCCGAGCACTTCTGTTTCTGTGGATCTTCCACCTACATCGGTGCTGCTTTGCCTGTACATTGCAGGGAGCCATCCCTGGGCACCTCTGGGGCAGAACAGGAACCTGGGAGTGGGAACCCCCTGCCTTGGTACCTGGTTGAAACTCAGCAGAGCTGCCCAGGCAGGAAATGTGCCAAGACCCTACAGCTACTGCCCTTCTTGTACATGGGTGCTAGTGCGTTTCTGTGTCATGTTTTACCCCAGGCAGCAATCTGGCAGTGTTGGGCTGTTTGTCCAAGGTTTTGGGTCACTGCTCCTCCAGAAGGAATGCTGTAACCAACCCCATTTCCTATATGTCCCTGTGCCTTAGGAAGCTCTTGCAACTACAGGTAAGGTACAGGCACACCTGGCCTGTAACACTGGAGTTCAAAGCAGCTCGTGTGGTACAAGATCCAGGAAACTTTGTCAGAGGTCAAGCCTAGAACCAAGTCGTGTCCCAGTTCTTCCCTCTCCACTGTGGGAGTTTCCTCACCTGCTGCTTCTCTCGCTCCTCCTGCTGCTTGAACTCATCCAGCACGGCCTGGAGACGCGTCTGCAGAGACAAACATGACACACCACAGTTACCGATGTGTTCTCAACTGAATGGGTGCTGGCACAACATGTCAAATAGAGCAGCAAGCCCCAGAATCAGTCTACTGGATCTCATGGCAGGCCAGTGCTAAGCAGAAGACTTGAAGAGACCCAGGAGAGCTCTCACCTTGAGGGCTAGGTTCTCCACTTTCATGATGAGATCTTCCTGGCGCTTCCTCCTGTCCTGGGTCTCCTGGAGTTTGCTTTTCAGGTTGTCAATCTGTTTCTGGATCCCCATGACTGGAAGAGAGAGTGAGCTCAGACCCAGAGCAGCACCAGAGCTGGGCAGTGCAGGCTGCCTGGCACCCCAGTGATTCTACTGTGCTCTGCTATCTACCCACCTATCTGGTTGGAGCCCTCATTCTCCTGTTGCTGCCCATCAGACTCATTCAGCTTGTCCTGCAGCTGCCTCTCCAAGTCATCCTCAGTGTCCATGATGTTCAGGTCTTCATCGTCATGATGATCCCGCTCATCTTCATCTTCGCTGCTGCTGCTGATGTCATTAAATATCTCCCGCAGTTCATCATGTTCTAGGGGGAAGAGAAGAGAAAAAGCACAGCTGATGACCTCCTCGCACCCTCTGCCTGCCAGGGCCCACGTGAGCACTAGGTACCTCTCTCAACATGCTCTCCCCTTTGCTCTGGTTAGGGCTTACCCCAGACAGAATGGGCCCAACTGATTGCTTAGTGGCTAGAAAGAAAACAAACAGCCTTGCCCTCTGCACCTGAGGAGCCTTGCTTATGTCCTGACATCCCTGGGGAGGAGATGTCCAGGCTGGTGAGTGAACCATGGTTGTCTACTTCTTTTGTTTCATCTTCGGCAATGACCTCCCAGCCTGACAGCAGGAACAGATGAGTCAAGGGAAAAACAGGAACATGAAAGATGCAGTGTGATGGAAGAATGCTGAAAACTGCAGTGGATCACTGCCCCTCCAGCAAGTCTGGCTTTGCAGCTATGGATATCCAGGACAAACCACCCCAGCACCCTTTTTGGATGACTGCTCCTCTGCTGTAAGTTCCTGCTCAATACAATAGTACAGTCCAAGGAAGGTCACCATGAAGAAACAATGAGCTTTGAACAAGGCAAACATGAAGCTCCAGAACTTCAGTGCCTCTTGTACACCTATCTCACAGCCTCTCACACCCATACTAAGCTGAACTTGTCTCTCCTTTCCAGAAGCCCCAGGTTACACATAGTGCCCTGTCCCCAACTTGAGCTTTTTTCTCTCCTGAAAGGATACGGACACTGACAGCTTCAGCATCTGTGCTCAGGAGGCGCTTCACCTCTTTTTCCACATCAGGAGACTCAATATACTGGGCGAGAGAGGGGAAAGAGAACAGAGAAATTGTTAAATGCCTCATGCATGCTGCTGATGGTGGCCAAATCCAACCCTTCACCTGTGCACAGAGCCCTGTTTCAAGCCTCTCTTATGCTTTCTGCTCAGCTTTTGCTTATGCTCACCCTAGAAGTAACTTGTGCATGTCCTGAAGGCAACCCATCTTTTTTTGTACAGAGTTCCTTGGTGGGCTGTGTGCTCTCACTTTTGTACTTGGCTATGAAATAAGATGTGTGTATGCAGAAAGTCTTTGAGGTGCTGTATCTTGATGGATGGTCAACTCAACTCCTTCCCACCTCACTCAAAGGAAGGTTTTTCACTTTTAAATTAGCCAGGAATCTTAATGTAGTGACAGCAAATCTCTCCTGTGGGCTATAAGAATGTCTCAAGTAATTTGTCTCCCAAATGTCATGCGAAATAGCATGAAATAGTTCTCAGGAACTGCAAAGCAGAGAAGAAAAAGTCTTCTCAACCTCACAGTGCTGCATCTCCCCAGCACCTTGCCTGGTTTGTGCATATGCACAGAGACAGTCTCTGAGCTCCATCTGTTGTCACTCCCCCAGCTGAAATGACAGTTATTCTATTTGTAGCATTGCTTGCTGGGGAAGTGAACAGGTTATGCAGAGGGAGAAGATTTGAGCTGGGAAAGCAGGAA